CAAATGGACTTATTAGTATTTGACCTCCTCATAAGTGGAAAAGCACCTGTATTAGGAAGCTTCAAGTTCTGATGGTGAATCCTAGTTTCCCGGTTGCCTCTCAAAAGATTATTTTCATCGTTGACAACAAATATTTCCAGTTTTTTCTTGTAATGAAAGCTCCATTTGTTTATTTTTGAGAACATGTCTGCCAGGTACCCAAATCTGACCGTGTTCTTTCAATATATTTCAACACACATCTATCAGATGTTCTTTCAGATAGGAATGCTTGCCATGGGGCAAAAGCGGCTAGTTTAGTTTCACAGATGAATAGAATGCTTTTCCTCAAGGCAGCCATCATGCTTCTCTGTGAACCATTTCATCACACAAAATAGTGAAAATGCATGTGCTCAAGGATCAAGATTTAATGTAATTTAAAGTTCATACTGCTTGTTTATTGTTCTATTATGTGTGTGACTGTGGAGAATATGACAGTTTAGCTTGCTGTCGGTGCCTTAATTCAGACTGAGGTGGTAGAGCAATTTTACCCAGTATTTCTTTTGCACACGTAGACATCAACACAGCAGAAAAGGCAAATGGTATCTCAGTATTAGTATAAAAAAAGTGTTGGGACCTTCTCCAAATCCTGCACACTATTTTTTAAAAAACGCCTTGCTAGTCTAATCCTCTCTTGCAAAGAAAAGAACCAAGGCCAATAAAAAATCAGCATTATTATCTCAGATTTATTCTAGCAGTAAGTGTAAGAACCAAAGCAGGTCTCCATTCTCTAACTTACATGTACTATGTAATTTGTCTTCTTGTTTCTAAGGCACTCTTCCCCAGCCCCAGAAGGAACATTCCCCCGACGAGGCCACACATCATAGCACTGGTGTTTTATCATGTTTACTTAAAAGAGCAGGACTTGCCACATGAGGAATTTAGAAATTCTTTTAACATTTTTAGACCTTTTCTTTCAGTCCTAATGTTCTTGGGTGTCCTTGGTTTTCATAGCAAGTGATACAGGATTAGAAATATCTAAGATATTTGTTTTATTTTTTAATTATAAAAGGCCTTAGTAATAGGTTTTTATTCATTTATTTTTGCTCATTAATGAAAGTGCTCTGTCAGTGCTTAAATTTCATGAATTTATTGTGTAATTTTTGCTTTAGAGAACTTGCATCCTGGTGGGGCTAGGGTTGTGGCTCAGCAGTAGAGCGCTCACCTAGCATGTGCAAAGCACTGGGTTCGATCCTCAGCATCACATATAAATAAATAAATAAAATAAAGATATTGTGTCCAACTACTACTAAATAAATGTTTAAAAAAAAGAACTTGTATACTGGTATAAACCTAATTTGTTCACCAGAAGCTCTATAAAAGGAATCCACCTATATAAGAAGCATGGCTTTTAAGTGTTAAAGCATTGAAAATTGTTCTATATAAATTTCATTAACTACCTGCCCATTGTGCATGCTATAGAGTCCTGTTAAAACAAGGAAGCTTTCTCCCTGCCCTAGTAATTACACTGCTGATCAGAAAAAAAGTTTTGTCAAAAAGATTTTTATTTTCTCCACATTGAGATGGGTTATGTGACACTCACCAGCCTTTGGAGGAGACTAATATATAACGGACAAATTACAAAACACCTTAGTGTGTTTGGAGTGAAGGAAGAAGAGCTGTAGTGCCAGACAGATCTGGGTTCAAATCCATCATTCGTCAGCTTTGTGACCCTCCAAGAAATTTTCAACTTTCCATATCCATTAACTGGGGATGTTAATACCAAAAAGTAGTGGGGAATTAAGTGAGATAATAGTGTGAGCACTCAGTCTGACTCCTAACTGTCATTTAGTACTTCATATGGAATTTAAGGATTCTAGGGGGTTGAGGGAAGAATAGAAAATGATCATTAAAGATAAGGAATATATACCTGCAGTATATTTTCTCATGAAGGAAGGAGATGTAACTATAGCTAGAATAGAAGATAGAGCCCAATGACCCTTTACTGTTTTTTTAAATATATTTATTTGCTTAGCAAAAGCAGAGGAGAAAGCAAGACAATAAAATTGAGAATTAATAGTCCCTTTATTCAGTAAATATATACTGTATTGTGCAACTGCCAGACATTGATTGAGCGACAGTTCCTGCAATGAATGAAACAATACCTGCTTTTGTTACACTTATATTCTAATGGGAGGAGACTAGACTATAATATGATATCATGATATTTATTATTATACCACGAAGGACAAGACAATTAAAATTGAAAAAGAAAACTTCAAATGATCCCATGAGACTGAGCAGCTACTTGTAGACAGATTGGTCATGAAGGGTCTCCCTGAGTGCTGGAGAGCTCAGTGGTGGTCTCAGTGGTCTCCCTGAAGCAGCACTAGGAGCACTAGGGTTAGTAACCTCCATCTCTCTGTTCTAATGTGCATATTTTTTTAATTCTAATATTTCAGGGCTTGAGGCAGAGAAGCTGCATATGTAGAATGATAGTATTTTACCTTCCTTTCTCCCATCCTGGAAAAGTTATTATTTGTGTGGTTTAATCAAAGATAGAAGGTATGTTTAGAAGTGGGAAAAAGGGTCAGGGAATGTTTTCCTCCTACTGGCCTCTCTTTTTTCAATGAAGTCAATGTTAAAAAACCATAGAGACAACTGTGGGGGAATGGAATTGAAAGTGCCTTGGAAAAATCTGGGCAATCCCCAGTTAGGAACCAAAGGGAGTCTGTTAGGGACAAGTAAATGGATTGTGGAATAGGATTGTGGAACTGATTTTGAGACTAGAAAGCTTGTGATGCTATCTAGTGTCATGGTGGTTGAATTCTGCAGCACTAATTAACAAGCAATGGGAGTGGAGTATACAAGGTGGGGGCCAGTTGGGGAACGTGCCATAGGAAGACAGTGGTGGGGTGAACCTATGATCTGTTGGGAGTGCCCATGATGGTCAATCATGAAGCCGGTACTGGAAAACTAGAATATTACCTAAGCTTACACATAAGCATGGCCTAGGACAAGAGAACACAGGCAGGTAGGTAATCATTCCATCTCTTAGGGAAAATGAATAGTTAACTCATACATACTCCTAACTAGCAGATAAGATTAAATGTTCCCTTCAACCAGATTTTATAGTTATCACCAAAGAAGAATAAAGAGATTGGTGGAGGAGAAACCAAACAGAATTCAAAGAAAAGAAATCCAAAGTAGTCACCAAAGATTTCAAACTTTGATGACTCTTGCCTTTGATGCTTGGGTCAGAATCTGATTATATGAGGTCTACCTTGGAGTCATATTCAGCTGATCTGATTAGCTCCACCCAGGTAACTACTATACATCCGGTTATCTGAGTGTCCGTCAGTGCCTAGTACTTTATTTTCTTTTTCTTTATTTTTTTTCAAAATATTAGTATTGTAGGTGGTCTTTCTATGTTAAAGAAAGTTATGCCTTGATTAAAGAAGAAACAGTCAAGACTTACCAACAGCAATGTTAAAAAAAAAATGATTATCAATGAAACCATAACAAGGGCATACTTTATCTCCAAAAGATCCATGGCTGTCCAACCTCTTGCATTGGTACTTCAGAATCATGAGCTGAATGAAGTATAGAAAAACTTATACCAAAAATGTTGTAAATCAGTGTGAGTTGAAGATAAATCAAATGTGAAGACAAAGCATCTATAAGACTACAAAACAGTGGGACTTTTTCTTTTTCTTTTTTTTCTTTTTTTTTTTTTTAGTTCTGGTAATAAAACCCAGGGTATGATGCATGCTGGGCAAGCCCTCTACCACTGAGCTACCTCCTCACCCCTTGTTTTTTAAGTGCAGTTTGCATATGCCTCAGAAGTGCCCAATCTATATAAAGTAAACCTACTTTTGAAATTACAGTATAAAAATAATAATTGTTGTGATTCTTTTTAGTATTACTGAATCATTGTGCTCTTAACCACTTTAGTTTCATAATCATGGTGTTTAAACCAAAAGTTAGAAACTTCCAGCCTTCTGCATGTGTCCTAGTTTAATTGTTCCAGCTGACTACATATTCTGATGTTCAAACCTTGTCTGTTTATCCCACTAAAGAAAAGGTTTTCTTCATCAACTGCCATCTCTCTGGTCATACCCAATATATAACTATTGCAAATGCTATATAAATATAAGACTAAAAAAGAAAAAGCCCTTTGATCTCACTCCAGTGAGAATGGCATACAAGAATACAAGTAACAATAAATATTGGTGATTATGTGGGAAAAAAAGTACACTCATATATTGCTGGTGGCACTGCAAATTGGTGCAACCACTCTTAAAAGCGGAATGGAGATTCCTCAGAAAACTTGGAACCATTTGATGCAGTTATCCCAATCATTGGTATATACTCAAAAGACTTTAAATCAGCATACTATAGTGATATAGCCACATCAATGTTTATAGCATTCAATTCACAATAGCTAAGCTATGGAACCAACCTAGGTGCCCTTCAGCAGATGAATGGATAAAGAAAACATGGTACATATATGCAACGAAATACTAGCCATAAAAAAGAGTAAAATTATGGCATTTGCCGGTAAATGGGTGGATAGAACTGGAGACTATCATGTTAAGTGAAATAAGCCAATCCCCCACAAAAAAGCAGAGGCTGAGTGTTCTCTCTGATTTGTGGGCACTAACACAATAAGCGGGGAGACTAGAAGTTAATCAGATTAGACAAAGGGGAATGAAGGGAAGGCACAGGGGATGGGAATAGTAGAGCCAGTAGAATGAATTGGACATAACTTTCCAATATGTTCATATATGAAAATATGACTAGTGTAACTCCACAACATGTACAACTACAAAAAAGGGAAGTCATATTCCACATACGTATAATATGTCAAAATATATTCTACTGCCTTGTATAACTACAACGAACAAATAATTATTTTTTAAAAATCATCTTAAGGAAAATTTTAAAAAGAGCTATTTTTATTGGTTGTTTAAGATTGCTTGCAATGAGAAATTTGTTCCATTTACCAAAGTTTTTTTCTACAGGAGATGATTCCATGTCTACCAGTCCTGTTGAGAAATACCTAACTCCACAAATGCTGGACTCTCCTGGAAAGACAGTCTGCACAGGTATTTTTTGTGGGTGGTAGGATGTCAGATTAAATGATCTACTGCTTTGACCATGTGAAATGTTTTTTTATCAAGGTTTAAATTTCAACTGGGAATCAAGTGAATATTAGCAATTCTAGTAATATTAACAACAAAAAGAATAATGAGAAAATGGGGTTAAGGCATTTCAGAAGTTTCCATCTGGTTTGCTGAGTGTCCTTGAAAAGTCATTAACTCTTCACTAAATTTTTATGCTATTTACTTATCCCCAGATTTAGGTAAAGAGATTAACTTGACTGCTGTATAATAATGAATAAAATTTTGTGCGTGCTACAAATTATTTTTCCAAAAAAGATAAACAACTTCTTTCTACATGTATTAAAAACAAGTATCTCATCTGGTTTTCAGCTGTTTTTCATCAGAAGTTCTTGAAATCAAAATAAGTTCTCCCAGGGATAGGAACTAATAAAAAGGGCTCAATTAAGATGAAGAAGACACTTGTTGAAATTGAGAAATATTTAAATGTATTTTAAATGATAAAGCTTTTTAAATTTACTTTTCACTTGGTACATTAATTATGTGTCCTCAAAAAGATAGTTACTTGAATTTAACAAACCACTTGTGTAATTTTCTTTTATTGTCACTAATATTTGAAGTAATCGGCCTTTAAATTCACCCATAAAGAATGCTTGTTTCCTCTTACTTCCTGATATAAATATATCTGATTTATTCAGTTAATGAACTGTATTTCCCCTTTGGTGCCCAACTCTTCTTTCTAAATTCAAGCTATCTTTACATTTGTTAATGCTTTACTCAACAAAATACTAAATCTATAACTAAGTGCCTTTGGTTGCCCTGTCCCCTACCCATTTTGAGAACCCACATCTTTTCACTCCTGAATTGAGAAATCATGGCTGTTGTTGTCACTGTCTCCAGAGAAGTGGCCAGTATCCCAAACCCCACTCCAGGTGCCTTCACTCACAGGGCCACTGAGATCTGGCCTGACTCACTCTTGCTGAACTGAATGCCTGTTAGTTACTTTCTTTCCTGCTAGGTTTAAGAGCAACAATTGAAATAGGAAAGACAGTAGAATGAATCTAACAATTTTCCTATGTGCATATATGAAAATACCTAAGTGAATCCCACCATCATGTATACCCACAACAATGAGGTCCTAATTAGAATAAGATATATTCCATGCTTGTTTAATTATATCCTAATGGATTCTATGGTCATATATAACTAAAAAGAACCAATAAACATTTTTAAAAAGAGCAACAATTGGCTTCACTATTCTGTATAAACAAAAGCAAGGAGTGTCCCCACAAAATAGCTCTTTGAAATGCACATGTTAGCTCCTGTTCACACTGAATTGTTAATCCAATTAACACTTTGTCAACTGACATACGGGGTGGGGGAGGAGAGGGAGTAAGTGATACTGACAGAATGAATCAGATGTTAAGGACGGCTGAGCTGCCCAAGTGGGTGTCATCAGAGAGGCTGCAGAGAAAAAAATATATAGTTTTATGGAGATCCTCATTAGCGAATAATAGCTATTTTGTCTCCCTTTCCTTCATTTACCTCTCAAAAAGGAAACATTAGTTTAAAGATTCAGAACTATTTCCATATGATGAGCCCTCAAGTTCTGTGCTTATTTTCCCACATTAAATAAGCATCAGAAACTTAATCCTTCCTAGCAAGAGAAAATGAGAAACTATCTGCTAAATGTCTGTCTAATGTGATAGGAACCACCCTGGCACCTTCATGGATATTTTTCTCATTTAATTCCAGTAGCTAGTGTACTGTTATGCCCATTTCATAGATGACGATATTTAGGCACAACAGAGTGACTGGCCAAAGCCACAAGTACATGACAAAGCCAGGCATCGAAACCAAACTGTCTGAACCCCAAAATTCAGAGACTATAATGGTGGCCATAACTGTTCACAGTAGTTTACAATCTATACAAGGAGGAGCGGGGAAAGCCCGTGCAGACAAGTGGGCCAGGATTTGGGTTCCAGCACTGCTGTTCACCAGCTTGGAAATTTTTACTAGAAAATGGCTCAACAGGAATTCCTCACTCAGGTTATCATGGAAATCAAATGAGATAATGCATGTAAAGTATTTTTTTTACAATACCTGACACATAAAATATAACTTATCATTGGAATAATATTTAAGCAACAGTCATCAAGAAAGAAACTCAGCTGCTTGGAAAATAAGAATTCCCTTTCTTGCTAAGGAGGTGAGGAATTCATTGTTTGGCAGATTCTCACAGGGTTGTGTTGAGTGGAAGGTGCCTGCTAGGTACTGGCATTAGGAGAGGAAGGGAGGGAGTTAGCTAAGAGCATAGGTCAGCAAAGCAGGACAGATGTGCCAAAGGGAATGGACAATTAGACACGGGACACAAGATGTCCAGTTGGAAATGTGCTTATCTCAATTGCCTGATATTTGGGTCTGAGATAATGATGACTTCAGGCCTTCGTGCTGGAGATGCAAGGACTAGAAATTATATTTGGCATCTTGAGTACTTTGAAACAAAAGCACACTTGTTCCTATTGCCAGCACATTTTACTGTGCACACTCCACAGTCAACACTCAGTAAATTCTTACTGACTCTGCCTATTGCTGCAGATCCTGGACAGCACTAGAAGATTGGGTAGGCAATGGCTAAATGTGTTTATAGTTTTTTGACAAAATTAAATTGAGCTCCCTTGTGTTATAAGACATTATTTTTATCCCAAACTTCTCCAGGATTTTACCACACTTATTTTAACCAGAGACCATCTTGGGAAACAGTTTAAACCCCAACTGGAATTTATTATTTGAATTCCAAGTGGGAGGGAAAACAGGGATGCCAACAAATAAAATTGTAAATAGGGTTTTTAGTTTAATAAAATTAAAACCTAAACAGCACCTAAAAATGTTGGCTCCTTAGCGGTTGATTTGGCAGCACTTTCGTTCTGAGCCTGGATCCAGGGGGCCTGTTTCAAGAACGGGGACACTCCCCTGCTTGTTCCATCCTAACATGCTTAGCAGTAGGCCCATGGGCCCCAACAGATGGAATAATGGAACTCTGCCCAAACCCAGAGATGAGCGGGAACAACTTTGTTTAGAAGCAACAAAGCAGCCTCAGTTCTGCCAGTGGAAATCAGGAAGTGAGTTGTTTGTAGCTATCTAGAGAATTGCCCCATGCACTTGTCTCTTAATTATGCCAGCTGCGTTTGGAAAGAGTATGATAAAGCTGAGTTAGACACTGGCACCTAGTGCTACTGAGCTCTCATTCTTCCTCCTGCTGCCTCTAACATGCAAACAATATCCATCAGATCCAATCCTCTGGTGATGGAGGAGGTGGAGAACACACTTTGCACATTCTCCAAACAAATGTCTGGTAGTCTTTCTGCATTCGTTAGAATCCTATGGACAGTATGTGGCAAATGTGACTCTAAAAATTGGCTTGTACTTTCAGATGACTTAATTTTCCATTAATTTTCTCTTTCAAGTGGGCTTTCCAGAAGTATCAATTTAATGGTAATAGGAATTTTTGAATAAAGCCAGTTCTATTTCAAATGTTTTTTTTCTCCTTAAAATTCAGAAATGGTTTTATATTTTGGAATTAATTAGGATTACTTTGTATTTAATTTTCCCCCTCTGAGGAAAGAATGAAGGAAAGTCACTGCTTCAAATTAGAATGGGACAGATAGGGTTCTGTGGACCTTACTTGTTTCTTAACTTCCTCAAGCTTCATTTTTCATAATATTTTAAAAGAGGGAACAATAGTACTTTCTTGTGGAATCTGGGTGAGAGTTCAATTAAAAGACCTAGCCTAGGTTCTAGACCATAATAAGAACTCGGCATCTCCCAGTTCCCTTTTACTCCACAGTTAGATCAATTTCTCCCCAACTGTAAATGTCACTTTTCAAAATAGTTACTTTAATATGCTTAACATATTAAAAATAGCCCACATTTAAAATCCTAATATTAAGTATTCTCATTGAATAATTGTACAAAATTAATTTTACTAAGTTAGCCTTTTATGTTTTCAGTTAATAAAAGCCCATGTTTAATACCTGAGAGTCCTGTGAGTCTCTTTAACTCTGTTATGGGTAATTTTGTAGGATTTTCAGAAATTATGAATGTCAGTGGAAATTTCTACTGCTCATTATTTAGTACAGAATTGTCTAAGATCTGTAATTTAGTAGGTGCAGGTGAGGGTTTTTAGATCACACCATCTGTGAAAGGCCTTGTAAATGTATGGTGGAAAAAAACCACTGTTGTAGCTACATTGCCAAGAAAGACTTCCTACAATCGTACTTTCTTAAAATATTTTAGAGTTTTAAAACTTAATGGCATTTTCATCTTCTCTAAGGACTCCTATTGTTCAAACTACTTAAAAAAAAAAAACTGAAGTCAATCTAGCATAACTGACCTTTATTGCAAATTGCCTTCTTTCATCCTAAAGAAGAAATTGTTTGGAGGAGCAATTCTCAGGACTCCACTTGTCCTTGGGAGGTAATGAGCTCTCATACTCCTCAATGCTTAACCTCAGGAGGTAGTATGTGCTGCCTGTCAGATTACTAGATTACTTCCCTGGCCATTAGCAGTTCTTGTCATTAAGTAGTCAAGGAAAATAAAAGACATGAATCATTCCCGTGTGCATATCTAGATATAGTCATTTAGGCATAGACACACACTCATCATGAATATCCCAAAAGATAGTGCTTTTAGAAACTACTTCAAATAAGTAAACTTTCATTTTCCTTTCATTAATTCAACAAATATTTATGAGCATCTCCTGCGTGCAGGCAGTGGGTGTTAAGTGAAAATAAATGCCTGTCCTAGTTCAAACATCCGCCCCGTTACCCCACCCCACAAAGTCCGCCACTAATTCTAGTCTCTTCTGTTTCCTTTCTGAACTGTTCTTACATATACCGGAATATGTTTATGTGTGTATCTCCCAGCTTTTTAATCTAGACAATAGAATATGATGAATTTCACATCTTGGAGAGTATTCCACATCAATCTAATTCATTCTTTTTTTACTGCTGCAAAGTGTTACATCATATAGTTGTATGATTATTTTATTAGCACTCTGTTGATGGACATGTAAGTAATTCCTGGGGCTTGGGGTATTTTTTATACATTTTTTGTGGTTTTTCCTCTTTCATTATTGGAGTCCTCAGCCAGAAGTCTGACTCAGTAGGTGCCAACAAACCAGGTTCAACTACACAGCAAAGGCAGCCTAGGTCCCTGTTACACTTCTGCCTTGCGTTTCTTCTAATGCACCAGTTTCATTCCCTTTCCCTAATGATTCTGGGAAATGGGACTTCTGGGAGACCCTCATCTTTTTTGTGTACTTCCTGATAGATCCAGGCAGGCAAAAGTAAGTAAAATTTACCCTATACAGCTTTATCTTCACAGTCTTCACAGCTTGTGATTAGCTTGTGATGACTGAAAATGATCCGGCTGACAAGCTTTTATACCCCAGCCTCCATGCCTTTAAATCTAGGGCGCTTAGGAACCAACTCACTTGGCAGGTGCTAGACCTGTCATCCAGGCTCTGTCAGTTCAGGCTGCCCACACTTCTCACACTGATCTGCATTCTCCCTTGCTGGAGCCGACCTAGTTACCCTCAGGAGTGTCCACAGACAGCCACCATAATGTGGAGACCTTTGAATATCTGACGTAGCACATTAACTTTAAATATGTCATAATCAGCTCATTCCATTTTGGTATGGCTTTATAAAGTATATCCAGTTTCATTTCTGAAACCCTTAACTCTTGGAAGGTTGCTTTCTTTTACTTGGTTATTTAAAAAAATAGGAAGTTCCTTCCCAACTGAATAAGCCTTTAGAGATCTTGACACTGGTTGACACTGGTTGTTGCTTCAGCTGCATCTTCTGTTCTGTGTCACTTCTGCTCTTCTTCACGTTGCATGACCATGCTCTGCCTTTGAGGTTCAGCTTTTCCATGTTCCTCTCTCCACTCTAATCTCCTACTCCTCTCTCGGTGTATGTCTGTTTTCTTAGAGCAATTTCTTCTTCAGAGACCACTTGTTACTGTGACCACATCAGTTTACACACCAATAGCATAATTTACTGTTCTCTTTTATTATTTCCTCTGATAGTCAACTGGCCTTACCATCTCCTTTGTTATAAAGAATTTGATCATTATACTGAATCATTTCCTTATTCTGGCAGTTAATGGAGTTAAATTGGAAAAAAAGAAGAAGAAGAAGAAGTTCCAGAGATATATCCTCTCTTTCATTTGTTAAAAAATTATGAAATGTTAAAAGTTATTTTTAAATTGTTTCCTTCTTTTTCCATTTTAAAAGAAAATTGATTGGGCATAATCTATCAATTCTTGATTTTTCTCTTTGGTCACTTTATCATCACTTAACAAATTCAACAAACATTTATTAATTTCTACCACTTGCTGGAACACTGTACCAGGTCCTTGAAGACACAGGCAAACCCCCTGCCCTCAAGGAATTCATTTATTGAGGAAAGGCAGACATATGCTTAGTACAATAGATAGAACAAGTGTTCTAGAGAAAATTAAAGCCAGAAAAGGGAATGGGTTGTTGCATTGGTCTGTTTTTTATTACTATAATGAAATACTTGAGGAAGGCTACTTATGAAGAAAAGGAGCTCCAAATTTGGAGGTTAGAAGTCCAAGCAGCACAGGGTAGATGAGGTCAGGTTCTGGCTTTTGTTAACATCCCTCTCATAAGAACTAACCAGATTCTCAGGAGAATGTCCTTAGTCCCTTCAGAGGGCATGACCTTCCCACCCTGACCCAAAGACCTCCCCCTAAGCCCCACCTCTTAAAAGTTCCACAGCCTTCCAATATAGCATCCTGGGAACCAAAGCTTCCAACACATCCACCCTGAGAAACAAACTACATCTTAACTGTGGCAGAAATTCAGAATGGTAACACAGTATTAAATAAAGCGATCAGAGAAGAGCTCACAGGGAAGAAGTCATTTGAGCAAAACCTTGAAGGAGATGATGCAGCAGGTACTAGGGATTTAATGTTCTGGGCAGTGGGAACTTCAAGTGCAAAGCACTGAGGAGGTGCCTGTCTAGCACATTTAAGGAACAGCAAAGAGGCCATGATGGCTGGAGGCAAGCAAGTAAAGGAAATGGCAGAGACACCCCTGAGACCCAAATAGCCTGAGGCTTTTAAGGCCATTGCAAGGACTTTGGCTTTCACTCTGAGATGAAGAGCCATTGGACAGTCATCTGTGAGCAGCAAGTGAGGTGTTATGTCTTTTGCTATGATGTATTATTGTCATGTTTTGAGAGGATTTGACTGAATAAAAACAAAACAGCCTTTATTCTAGCTCTTCTTGCTGTAAATATTTTCTGCTTAATCATTTAGGAGTAGGAATCGACATAAAAGACCCAATGTATTCTCTTCTGTACTTTTCCTACCCCAGATTTGTTATATAGATGCAAAGACCATTATTAATTGTTAATATAATTATTTAATAAGTCTTATCTCAGTTTACCAAAAGCTATCAATAATTGTAGGCTTTCTGCAAATTCTGTGCCTCCTGTTTTAATATATTTATTTACAACTACAGTACTTTTCTGAAAAAGATGAGAAGATGAGGCTTAAAATGAAAATAGAATTTTAAAATTAAAATTATGAATAAGGAAGGAAATATAGTGATGCACAGAGGTGGGTGTTATGAAATGATTGGCTAATCAGTTTGTCATGAACCTCATGGTGACAAAACTAAGAAAGAAAACAATGGACAAATGATTATCCTTGCCCGACTTTTCCAGACCACAGCACAAGTCCTTTTACTTCTTACTCTAATGTGCAATGTTTCATAGCATCCTTTTCCTTTTTCACCACTGATTGCTTTCTAATAAGTTGGCCACTCTGCTTCCCAGCTGATTCTTACTACGCTACTTATTTATTTGAATCATGTCAGTTTTATTAAAACACTCAACTTCCTGATTGAATCAATAGTACACTAACTAGGTATTCAAAGTGAGGTTGATTTTTCAATTTTTAATTCTGTTTCATGAGATAGTCAGCTACCTACCTATGTTCATATCCCTGGCATCCTAGAAGCAAATTGTTCTTTGATCCTTTATGCACAATTTCAAAATCTAAAAAGCTTTGAAAACAGAAAAAATTATCAAAAAATTGATAAAAACTCATTCATAGGCAAAAACCTGAACTGAAATAAGACAATTTAAAGATCTTCATGTGTCTCACTTATGGATACTCACATATTTTGCTATGAGAAGTGGCAATAAGTTTACTTATGGGCACCTCTGAATGTTATGTAACATTTTATATATGCTTCTTATTACTTTTCTAAAATTTGAAAGTGTAAATTGCAAAACACATGTGGCCCTGTGAGTTTCAAAAGGGTTTTTAGACTTGCAATGACCAGTTCCTAGACTAGCGTAGGTGCCTAGTAAATGTGAGTTGAAGTGAAGTTTGATTAATATGAAATACTGAGAAACTAGAAACTTTTCCACAGCCAGCCTTGTGACCTTGCAGCCTCAGGGAATAAAATAGATGATTCAGTTCTTAGAAGCAGGGCCTTTTAATTGTTCTCCTAAGGTTGTAGAAATTGGTCTTTGGTCAGGCTAATAAATCGAGGGAGAACGAAATGTTATTCTATCAGTTAAAATTGTTCCTATTAGTATCCTAGAAGGTGCTTTTTGGGTGATTCATGTGTTGTTTTTTTTTTTATTTCATCTCTGTGTCCTTACTTATCACTTTGTATCTTATTGTTTTTGTTCAACATTTTTTAAAGGTGTCACATCAGCTTTTTTAATACTGGTGATTTAATTGCAAAAGCGCACATAAACAGTTTGAAAGGTGTGAGAAGAAATTCACAAGTCACATGGGAGACAACAACAAAGCTAGCATTCAGTCTGGAATTCATCCACAGTGCAAAACAAATTACACTGCCAGTGGGTCAAATGGTGTATCCTGAAATTGAATGAAAAATGAGTGTGATATAAGAAACATTTATTTCATACCACAGAGACAGTGGGTAAATCAAGATTTAGGCTTTACCCTCATAAAGCATAAGGATAATAGGGAAAGCAGGGCATGTATATAAAGTAAATAAAATATACAACAGACTATACCAGAGGAAACTTTGTAGCTCAGGATATCAGGAAAAGAGGTGGGGTTGCCCTGGCTTGTGAAGATGAGTCAGAATTGGGCAAATGGAGAGGATAGACTTTCAGAATTAGAAGGAGGAGGACAGCATCCCACCTCTCTAGAAGCTCTATATTTAGCAGTAGAGACACACATAAACACAGAAATCATTATGGGAAACAGTCTGTATTATAGTAGGGGCTATGGAATCATAGAAGAGAATAATAATCCTTGGTGAAGCTGGCCAGGAGTTCACCTTCAAGTTGGGTCTTGAAGGGCCTGGGCATTTGCTCAGAAGGGTAAGAGGTACATCAAGGAATCTGTTCCAAGTAGAATAAGATGATTATATGAACTCTCAATAACAGGCCAGTTACACTACAATAACTTTTCATGTTGTATTATGATTTCAGGCGAATCAAACAACCCTTCTGGAACAATACAGAGTGGGAAAAGTTTGCAGAATAAGAGTCAGTTTAGGACCATTGCACCAAAAATTGTGCCCAAAGTCCTAACATCCAGAGTGCTGCCATGTCATTCACCATCACTCTCCGATCAGGGGAATCTGGGGCCCGCCATCAAGCCATTGGGAATGCCTGCCCAGAACTATGCTCTGATGCAGGTTGCTGGCCAGGAGGGAACATTTTCTCTTGTTGCTTTGCCACATGTTGCCTCACCTCAGCCAGTTCAGAAACCTAGAATGCCTGAAAATCTTAAACTGCCTATTCCCCGATATCAACCCCCAAGAAGTAACAAAGGATCAAGAAAGAAACCCATCCTGAGCCCTCCCGAGAGTGGCTGTAGCAAATCTCCTGCCCAAACCCAGATGTGTCCTCAGATGTCTCCTCCTGCACCTGCCCAGCCTGAATTTCCACATAAACCCAGTCCATGTAAGCAGCTTCCATCACTAGACAAAGCCCCAGCCAGCATCAACACAGCTATACTGACAAGTGGCAGTGGCCATGGAGACTCGAGATCTCCAGTGATCAACAACCATGGAGATGTGACCCCTCCTGCCACCCCTGTATTCTCTACACCAGGGGAGCTCTCAGCCAAGCAGAGCTTCCCAAAGATTTCAGAGAGAGTAAACTTTACAAGCAAGAAAATACCCAGTAAACCTTCTCCTATTGCCGGTGAAAAACTGAAAGAACAAGTTGATCATGCAAAAGCCATAACCAATTTATCACCAGCCATTTTGGGCAGTACAGTTCAATTGATCTCTTCAGTCCCCAGGGGAAAGCTGCCAATCTTACCCTACTCTAGAAAGAAAACAGAAGAGGTTTACAAAATTGAATCTGATGCCAATACTGCAGATTTCTCTTTACCTGGGCATGGGTCAGACTGTGATAAGAGATTCTCCACCACTGAAGGCTTTAATGCAGCCACCAAAATGGTCAGTAAGATGCCTGTTCCACAAGTGTCAAAGCAGAGTCTTTGTGAAAGTGCCTTTTGTCCAGTTACCAAACTAGATCTCAACCACAAAACAAAATTGAATGGTGGGGCAGCAAAGAGAAGAGGAAGAAAACGAAAGATACCAGATGAAATTTTGACATTTCAAGGAAAAAGGAGGAAATGCATTCTTAATAAATGTAGAGATAGTAAAGAAAGGGCAAAAACTGATCCCCAAGAATCCAGAGACCAAAAACCTGGGGTCCTGAAAAAATACCGTAATATTATGCCTAAACCTGTAATTGTTGTGTCTGCTTTGGCTCCCCTAGCTTCTCCTGCAGCTGTGCTACCATCCCAAACACCCAGCAGCCTGGGACAGGACACTTTGTTAAATAATTCTAAATATCTCAGCTGTAAGCAGAATGATAACCCCTCCTCCAAGCCCAGCTCTGTGTTCAGAAATGGATTCTCTGGCATTAAGAAGCCTTGGCACAGATGTCACGTTTGTAACCACCACTTTCAGTTCAAACAGCACCTTCGAGACCACATGAATACACACACCAACAAACGGCCGTACAGTTGTCGGATTTGTCGAAAGGCCTATGTACGTTCCGGCAGCCTAAGCACACACATGAGACTTCATCACAGTGAAAACCGTCTGAAGAAACTGGTGTGTTGTGAGTTTTGTGCAAAAGTGTTTGGTCACATCCGAGTCTATTTTGGCCATCTGAAAGAAGTGCATAGGGTCGTGATCAGCACTGAGCCCTCCCCCAGTGAACCACAGCCAGGGGCCATGCCTAAGAACAGGGACAGAGATGCTAGTATGCAAGCGATGGAGGGACCCCTGGAGAGGTGAGTGCCAATGGAGTGGAAGTCTGGAATAAAAGCCTGTTTTGATTTGGGGAAGAGGGGAAGATTTCATATTCAAAAAAGGCTTTATAAAAACATCTCTCAGGTGAAGATTTCATAAGGTAGTGTTCCCCCTGGTTCTGTAAAGAATAATCTCATTTGTCTTTGGTGTCTGGTCAGTCATAATTTTTAATTACTCTAACCTGTGTATGCCAAGGCAGAAATGCTAGTTTGAGATGTGCTCAGGACAATTGAGCTTCAGAAAGTTATTCTTGCATCTAAAAATGAAATAGTAAATTATCATATATAGTTCCTGATAGTCTTTACAAATAATTTTCCTCAAATTTATGTGCATAGGATTTCTATCTAAACAGCAGCATCTGCCCATAACACAGGGTGACTCTTGATGGGGTCTCCAGGGGTCTGCTGCATCAGCCACACCCTAAGGTACCCAGACCTAACATGCCCCATTTTTCCCATCAGGCCAGGTTAATCTGCCATTCCTTTTTTCAAGCACTGCTTCCTCACATTATCAATAAATAAGCTATGTAGTTTGGAAGCCTGGCAGGCAGACCTTAGAGCAGTAATTAACCAGGGAAATGCCCTCAGTGTGGGCTGTGTGTATCCTCTTTCCACCAAGGTGACAAGGAGTTTCACTAGAATTAATTCTTTGCTAAGAAAGCATCATGAAAACTTTTTCCAGCCCTTTCAATTCTCTGCCTCTTGTTTTTCATTGTTCCATTTGCTCAACATATTTTCTATTCAATTTTGGCTTGCTCTGTCATACTCGATAAATAAGGGGTGCCTATCCTGCTACCTCCTTGCCTTTGTATAGTTTCTCTTCTGCTCTCATGCTTTTCACTAGTGTACAAAGAAACCAACCTTCTTGTTTTCCTGTTGTCAGATTTTGATGTTTGAGTAAAATGTCCAAACTGCCTTTTGTGCTCAAGGGCAACAGTGAGTGCTGGGGGACAGTCATCTTCAGTTGCAGCTAGTAACCCTGCAGCATCTGACGTGATACTCCCTGATTCTTCCGTGTTGAGTACCCCTGTTCCTGTGGGAAGCAAAGAAGAGGTGGCTTGCCCAAGAGAAGCAGAAAGGCACAGACACTTCGTAAATGAACCCAGGTGTCCTGAGAAACGTGTGACAGTTAGCTTTCACTGTGCCCTCTGCTAGAGTCCTTCCCAGGCTCTGGCTTTCTAGGTTCTTTATGTTTACCCCGTTCTTTGTACTTCTCACTGTAGGTGTGTTTTAGATCTCTAAGGGCTTAGAACTGAAAGGAAAAATTCCAATTGTGTTTTTCCATGAAATCTTATATAGACTTTTTCCCCCGTTTCAGGGAAAACAAGTCAAGCTTGGAAGAAGACTTCCTTCTAAACCAGGCAGATGAAGTCAAATTACAAATCAAATGTGGCCGTTGTCAGATCACTGCTCAGTCTTTTGCTGAAATAAAGTTCCATCTGCTTTATGTTCATGGAGAGGAAATTCAGGGCAGGCTGCAAGAGGGAATCTTACCAGGCACCAAAGGAGCTCAGGAGGCTCTGGTTAAACATGCTGCTCCTGACTGGAAACAGCATCCTGAGAGAAGAAGGCAGGTGAAGGCTTGTTCCTCTGAGGAGGAATTCCATGCATTTCCTAAATTGAAAAGGCCACTCTATCTTCACCACCAAAATGGTGTGGAAATACTCATGGAAAATGAAGGAGGTCAACCAGGAGCAAATGAGCCAAGGGAACAACAACCTCAGGTCCCTGAGTGTCCCAGCCCCCACACCATTCTCCTCTGGTCCCATTCAGGCTTTAACTGCCTCCTTTGTGCCCAGACACTGGGAAGGAAGGAGGAGCTCTTCCTGCACTGGGAACACAGGCATAACTGTGAGGACCCTTCCAAACTTTGGGCTATTTTAAGTACTTTCTCAAACCAGGGAGTGATTGAACTTTCCAGTAAAACTGGAAAATGAAACCCTGAGGCAAACTGGGGTTAAAGAGAGTTTTGCTAGCACCTTTCTATCAAATCTTTGTGTTTTATGGTGGTACTTAATTTTATGAATCAAACAAATTAGAATCAACATTAATGAACAAAAATAATTTTTGTACATAGTTTTATTTTCTTATGAAATAAAATATATGCCCTCGATGCATATTTTTCTAACCGTATGCAGTCTGATTTTAAAATTCTATGTACTGGCTTTATTTTATCTTAGACTTTATTAAAAGATCAAAATTTGGAGATTGAAATGTAGAGGCTTATAGGTTGTTCTTCAAATAATTTTCAGTAAAAATGTGTGCATGTGAGTGTGTGTGTGTGTTTGTCCTTTTTTTCAGATTATTTTCTCCTTTCATAGACCAACAATGTGAAGAATTTACATGTTGCAATTCTATTTCAATTCAAACCTTGGTATCAAATTAGATGGTAAATGTTGATATTTATTAAATTCCCTGGTATATTTGAATATGCTGCCAAGCAGTCTTTTCATAGGTTGTCTTCTACCATAATTTGAAGTATATGTTTTTAAGACTTAGTTTTTTGTGTGATTTTACTATTTTCTTAAATGCATATTGTCTTGAAGATAACTTGGCAAGTCTCACAGCTATTAATGTTCCATATCAAAATAATAAAGAATTTTTAGCATTTCAGCTAATAAAGAAATCCGCTTTCTTGGTAAAAAGTTGTTTTCAAATAGTCTTTGGGGCCAGGAAATTTACAACATGGAAAGTGAACTAGATGGTTCAGTCCAGATGTATAGGTGTCTCAACTGCTCTCTCTCTCTCACTCCCAGGTAACTTCAGAGGGTTGTCGCTAGCTGATCAATTTTAGATACAACTGTGCCTTTCAAGCCCGGAGTCTCTTTGAAAGTCAAGAGTAAATGATTGCCTCTTTAATTCCTGGGAAATTACCTTGAATCAGAAAAGTTGCCATTTGAAGTTCTGGCCATCCTAGTTGCAAAATCATTTTCTGAAACAGGAGAGTAAGAGCATTCATCCCACTAGAATTGCCGGTTTTGCATGAAAGTACTGTGCCAGCCCTGTTTCCTGAAGGTTGGCCCAGGCATGGTCATAACATTTTTCTGTGATACAGGAAGTTACCCAACAGAGGAAGCACTAAATCCTGATAAGCTAGTGGGTCTTAAGTCATCTTTTTAAATGTCTAATTCTAAAAGAAAGTGGTCATAAGTTAGCAAATAGTTTTGTAAATTTAAGAAAGAGTGTTAAGTTTGGAATTCTCTGAAGGATTTTGCCATGGTTTATTGATTGATCAGATTCTACCCATTTTCAAAGAGATAATATCAGACCTCCACTATTTTATAGATTTAGAATAATGAATAATAATGAGTTAATATTAATGAGTTAATAATAATGAAGTAGCTGTACCACTCAATACAGTTGCCAGTTTGTTTCATGTAAGATTGAAGACATTACAAAATGAGATCTACCCAAGAATATTACTTGAACCTAAATTCAAACTATGACATAATTTGCAGACTGCTCAGTCCTAAGATACTAAGTAGCATTTCAGAAATACCAGTTGGTCAAAGGCAGAGTAGTGAGTATGGATATGTATGGAGGCCAAGGTTGCATCACCCAGCCAGTAATGGGACGTCTAATGTCCCCTTGGTCATGGAGACACCTACCTATGGCCTGCATTTAACCACATATTCCCAGAACAAGAGTGTAGATAATCTCTGGAAGGAAGCAAGGAGGTGTGAATGTGGCAAAGAACAAAGGTAGACAGAAGATATGATTGGTTCAGGATGAAGGTCTCTGGCAGGATCCCCTTCTAGAACACATTTCAGAGCAGTGGCCCTAGAGGCCTAACTGAATTTAGGCAAGTCATCAGTCACTGGTCCATAGGGGACAGGGAAATAGGCAGGAAAGACTGGAGAGGTCAACACTCATTTTTAAGAACACTCATTTTAAGAGAGAAGAGAACTTGGAGTCCAGATGCCGCTCGATGCCTGTGTTCATGGGTTTGTTCAGAATACAATGTTGGTTACAATTTTTAGCTTCTGGAAACACTCTGCATTACAGCGTGAACAGCCACAATGCTACCCAAAGTAAGGAGTTTCTGGCTCTTAAAGCAGTTTTTCCTCAGAATGGTGGGAAGAGGGGCTATTACTGAGGAGGTAGGAAGACGAGGGAGGGATTTTGCTAAAGTAATTTTGGAAACGATTCAGGGCCTCCCTTAGGTGTAGAAGCGTTATTGGCGCAGTCCTAACCTGTACACTTAACCTAAAAGTCATGCAGTGTAGAATAAAGCTCTCTAACACTTACCCTGTAACCTCTCTGAGGGTTTCCCTTTCTGAGGCCCCATTCCCTCTGCTGTAAAATGCCTGTAATAGTCCTACCTCAAGGCATTGTTGTGGAGAGTCCAAGAGACTGGCAAGTTTGGGTTACATAGTAACAGGTGGCTGGTATTTATTACACTTTTGGCCAGATTTGAAAGAAAAGATACATTATATAAAGTTAAAACAGCTCAGATTTCAAGGATGAAAACTCTACTGAGAACCACAGAATTTTGATTCATTGCATAAAAAGGGACATTTTAATTTGGGGGAGAGGGCGGGTACCCGGGATTGAACTCAGGGGCACTCAACCACTGAGTCACATCCCCAGCCCTATTTTGTATTTTATTTAGAGACAGGGTCGCACTGAGTTGCTTAGCGCCTCACTTTTGCTGAGGCTGACTTTGAACTCATGATCCTCCTGAGCCTCTGAGATTGCAGGCGTGCACCACCGTGCCCGGCTTACATTTTAATTTTTAAATAACTAATAAAACTGGTTTGGATTGCATGGAGGTTTGGTAAATGTCTATTCAATCAGTATAGAAAGCAGAATTCACTAAATAATCTCTTTTCAGACTCCATTTGGGGACTCACATTTCTCAGGTCCTTCCTGTGGCTGCCCCTCTGCCCTCTCCTGGCCCCTGATCTAACTGTTGTTATAGTTCTCCCCACCCCATCCAGAAGCTGGCAGTGGGCTTGTTCTGCTTCCCATGCTAGACCATAATAAGCCTCTTGAGGGCGGGGACTGTGCCTTTGTTTACCATAGAGGCCTAGAGGGCCCAGTACCTCCTATGGTAGTAGACAGTAGATGGTTGTTGGGGGAAGAGGAATAAGTGCATCAACATCATATAAATCTAAAATTACCACTTTGGTTTTTACAAATAAATCAGCATTAGAAGCAACCAAACTTGTAAGCTAGGAACATATCAAGGAAAATTTGGTCTTCAACTCAGCACATTCATTTTGCTTAATGTCTTTTGCTTCTTGGAAAATTGGCCCAAAGCCAGCAAAACCAGATTTTTTTTTTCTTTTCTTTTGGCCCAAAATTATTTCTGAAAGTTACAGCATTTTAGATTTGTATTGTTTTATTACCTGTCATTTTTATTCATGTCCCCTTTTGTTGCTCTCTTTCTCTCTCTCTTGCTGGACCTCTTCCTAGTTCAGCTTGACTGTTCCTCTGTTAAGCTGCACCTCATATGGAAAGCTCTCTCTTCATCAGCACACCATAAATAATCAAACCTGGGTGCGTTCCATTGCCTTCTCTGGCTACAGACTCCTCCCCTCCCCAGCTGTGCGGCTCCAGTTTTCTGTGGCCCCAGTGACATGATTGTTGGCAATAAATGCTCAACTTCATTTATTTATTAGAATTCTCAGATCTGTCCTGGTTTACTCCATTCAAGTTGTTGACATGCTTTGTTAGGTACATATTTTATAGAGTCTCCCCTTTCTACTGAGCTCCTAAGAAAAAGTGCCCTGGTAAGGGATTTAGCAGAACAAGTTTTTAACTTCAATATGTTTTTTTACTGACCCTTGGACAATCAGCATATAATCTGGTATATATTTTAACCATATATACCTCCTTAGGAATGTTGCTTTTGCAGATGAAGTGTTCATTCTATCTCCTATTTGGCCATAATCATGGTTATCTCCATAATAAAACTATAACCACCATTTCTCAGGCATATTTTAAATTTGTGTTTAGTATGCAGACGTTGGCTTGGAAATCCATCACATTTTTCATACTATGAAGTTGGAAAATATTTCAATGTGTTGCTTAATCCTAGGAAAAATGCTCTCCATTGAAGAAAGCCAAACGTGACAGAAGTGATATAAAGATTACTTGTTCTAATTTTGATATGAAGCTAAACAGGTGGCCTTTTTCTTAATTAAATTTGCTCCCATCTTCAAAATTATCCCACGCCCAGTTAACAGTAAAGAATTCATTTGTAATAGGATGGCAACTCTTGCTTTTTTGTAGCACGTTTCAAAAATATTGCGAGTTATTATCATTATAATAGGTCATGTTTAATAAGCCAAATACCTACTAAGTACTACTCAAAAGATTCCCCCTTCTTTTCTTAATCAACTCAGTCTACACCTTGGGGTTACAAGGAAAGACACTATGTCTTCTATAGGTATTTATAGAGATAGCAATGAAAACGATCTGGTTACTATCTGAGTTGTAATGTGTATCTTACTACAGAAACTTGGCCATGGAAGAGATCAGGTGACTCAATCACATAAACTGCATAACCCTCCCAAAGCTCTGGGTAAATAGTAATATTTAAGGGTACATTCTCAGAAAACTAGCACACCCCCTTTTCCCACTCGAATCTGTATTAAAGCACAGCTGAGTTCTTCATAGGACATTCACTGAACCAAGCCTTTTTGACAATGATTACCCAAGAAAAGTTATCCTAAAATCTCCAAGAAGACTGTCTCTCAAAAGACTTATTTATTCTACAAATTAAAATAAATAAATAAATAGACTTATTTATTCTTTCCTGAAGTAAAAAGAGGAAAGGAATAAACAAGAGGACAGGAGTCCTGTTTCAATGCGTGGTCTGAGTTGCTTTTGGTGATGGAAGGTTCCATGGGGCACTATAAGGGTAGGAAAAACCAAGCAGCAAAAGGTCATTAATATTTTAGTCCACCCTCAATAGAGAGAAATTGGACAGTGTCTATCATAATGCAAAAAATGTTCAGACCTCCACTTCTAGGGGTTTGCCCTATGGATAATTACTGCATAAGTGCATAGATAGATAGATGAGGGGGGATGTTCACTGCAGCATTGTTTATAATAAGTGAAAGACTACACACAGCTGTAGCATCAGAGCTGGTCAAAAATATTAGAGTCCTCCATAATGGACTACTATGCTATAGTACAAAAGACTCAAGTAGCATTTATGCGCTGAAGTCTGTATTATGTGAAGAAAGCAAGGTGCCGAACAGTGTATAGTGTGCTTCCATCTGCTTTTGAAGAAGAAGAAAAAAGAGGCAAAAAGAGATATA